CATCACACCGGCCGCCTTTATTTCATAGGACTGCACCTGGTACCCACTCAAGGTTAGGTCGAATTGAAAGGAAACGTAATTTTTGAAGAAGAAAAAAAAAAAAAAAAAACACATAAGTCCGGCTCCGACAGGACCCGAACCCACCACCTTCCGATCCGCAAGCGAGGTTCTAGCCGCTAGACCATTGCGACATCCTAATGTATATGATAGAAACACTATTTCTGAACTTTGGAAGATCATACATACATAAAATAGCTGATACTAAAGTAAAAGTACGCCCCAGAAGAAATGGGTTTACGACATAGAAGCAGGGCTTTTTTCTGGCGATATACAGTACCGGCACCTCTTTAAAGCATAATTTTTTCCCTCAGCGCTACTGTAATAAGATATTGCACACTAAAATGCAGTATATAGCAAGTGCCATACCAAAAACTGGACCACAAGCAATTCTTCTTCTGAATCTCGTCATCCCCTTGTGGAGTGCAATTTTTAGTTATTTTGAAGCCCCACCCTGGCTTTCGCCGGAAGCCCTAAATATCGCCGGGCCTGAAATGTGGCCTAACGGCTAAATGGGGTTTCCGGGACCTCTCCACGGGTGATCCTCATCGTCATGGTGGCACTTTGTGTCACCAGGTGTTTATCGCCTGTGTGAAGTACTGGTGGGACACAACTTACATACATACAAAAGCAATTCTTCAGGCGACTCTTAATTACACAGGTGAAAGATGACAACGCTAAAAAGGTATATAATGATTACATTTGATTTAAAACAAAAAAAACAGCACTTAACACCTGTCTTATGCAATAAATTCTCGTTTTTGTCCACAAATAGTTTAGTTTAATTTAAGTTTCCTTCATTTTACATGCAACTAAACGTAATAAGGGACTTATTCGTGGCTAGTTAAGATAATAAATAATTCCCTAAGATCTATGGTAAGTTTGGAAGATCTATGGAGTTTATTAGAAAAGACGTGTGTATTCGTGTGGTTTTTTTTTTTATTTACGCATGTGCTGACAAAGGCTCTATAGCTGTGACGTTCGCATTTCGTTTGTGTTTGTTATATTGTGAAGCTCGCTGATCTATTTTTCGTTTGCTTTTATCTCCTTCCCTGATATTGGGAAGACAGGGAAAAAATATTCTTTGACAACTTTGCTATGATGCAAAAATACATCAGTGCATGAAGTGGTACGTGTCGATGGAGATCGCAAGATGTGGAATAGCGTGATACCTATGTCATTCGTCGTCGAATTTGAAGGTGCTAGTTGTGATGATTATTATGGAAGAAATAAAACAAGGCATTTACACAGTTTAATCCGTATGTTAATCATCTCATTAATATTTACAAAAGCCAATACACATGTAGTAAATGCTGTATAAGATGGAAGGCAGGATTGTCAAGAACTTTTATAGTGAACTCTGTTGTGCGTCAGGGCTGTGTATTATCGCCATTTCTTTTTAATCATATACATGGATACTATATGTAACGAAACGAACTTTAATCATGAAGAAGATATTACAGAAATACTATTCGCCGACGACCAAGTACACATAGCAGAAAGTACAGAATGCTTACAGAACCACGTAAATGAAAATAATAAAACAAAGGGGAGAAATGCAGTATGAGAAAAAATAATACGAAGACAGAGATAATGGTGATTGGAAGACAGAAAGACAATTTATGAAAACAAACTAAAAAACAGCTTCTTAAGACAAACAGAGAAATTCGCGAATGTGGGAGCAATTTTCACATACGATGAAGCAATGGACAGAGAAATTAGCTCGAGATGTGCCAAAGCAAATCAAGTCACGGAGCAATATCTTCCCTGTTGTCACACAAGCAGATACCAAAGAGTGGTAAAAGTGAACCTTATCAGAACTAATTTTTCGCCAACAGTGCTAAACGTGGACACTTACATTCCCTGGTGAAGTAGAATTGTGACAACAGAGATGAAATGCCTTAGAAGAGCTGCAGGAGTTTCAAGGAAAGAGAATAAGAAAACAGACAAATGCTAGGAATAAAGCCAGTTCCACAGGTCATCAAGGAACAGCAAACGAAGTGGTTTGTATACCTAAAAAAAAATGCCCTGGTACTATCTGCCACAGCGAGCGACACTGAAACGTGACAACGGGTAAAGAGCGAGGAAAAGACCTCGGAAAATATGAAGGTATGTCATAAAGAACAGCTTTACAGAAATGAACATCAATCCTAATAGTGCTCTTGACAGAGCTCATCAACGAGCGTTACATTTCCCCCCGATACTTCATAAAGGATCAAGGTGAAAGAGAAGAAGAAGAAGTAGAAGAATGTGTGTATTTTTTACTAATTCCCCCCCCCCCCCTCCCCCTTCGCCCCCTTTTCCCCACTCCTTTTTGAATAATTAAAAGAGAAAACGTTTTACATGCAATTATTTGAACCGATTGTTAAAAACAAAATTCTGGCTAAATTCAAAACTTAACAATCTAAATAATGAGCATGAATTGTATGAAAATGAACGTATATGGTATAGGACTAAATATTAATATACATAAGCAGCTATACAAATAGGTAATGCAAGCTAACCAAAGTAATAGCTTGAAACAAATAACACGTACTGTGATTTGTAACAGCAATTATGGCATGTAAATTTAGGACATGTAAACAAACCATATAATTAATGAACACAACATCATCATCACCATAATTACATGCCATTAAAAACAAAAACAAAAATTCAAAATCTTTCTTTATTTCTATCGGAGTTAGCAACTTTCCACAAAATTTTCCAGATTTTAACAGGTGGTTTAGTTTCATTATTGCCACAAAAGTGTAGCTTTTTTTTTCAAAAAGTGCCAGCAAGTTATTACTCTTCAAGATCTTGTTTTCCTGTAATATAAACAGTCGTCTCCTTGTGGTGAGATGCAATCTTTCGTTTTTTTTTGAAGCACCACCATGGCTGTTGTCATGGGCCGCAATATAGCCCGGCAATAAATATGGTCTAATGGCTGAACGCGGTTTCCGGGACATCTCCACGGGTGATCCTCATCCAGATGGTGGCCTTTTGTGTAGTCGGGTTTTTATCGCTTGTGTGATGTCCTAGTGGGGTAGAATGTACTACTACTAAAAATTGTTTTCCTGTGTTTGTTTTCATATATTGCTTTGTTTCGTAGTCAAGTTCTCCTCTTTTATTAGGTACAATACATATAACTCGTCTACATCTGGATGATAATACATCCCCGAAAACATTATGACAAACATTTAGTGCTCTGTTATCTAAGTCTTCTTTTTGTTGACAGTAGTGCTGACCAAACATCTTTTTGGGTTTCGTGTGTGGATTTTCTGTATTTTCATTTTCTCGTCTGGCTTTGTTTGTATTTTTTAAAAGTTGCCCTTTTGGTGTATCTTTCCTTGCAGGAATGTCTACTGAATTTATTATGTTTTTTTGTTTTGTTTCCTATTCCTACTTCTTTTCCTTGGGTTTTGGAGTCTTGGTTGAGTCTGCCGTTGTTGCTTGTTGTGCAATTGCCTTGTTTTCCTCTGTGTCTTGCCGCATGACTTGGTTTATCGAGAGATTTCGGTTTCTGATGTTCTGGATTAGTTGTATCGAGAAAATCGCCCCATGTCACAGACTAATGCTGCCTCTTCCAGCGCTAAATGTTCTAGTTGACACAAGGGTCCTTAAGTCTCCATCTCTATTAAATTAACATGGAATACAGTTTTCCTTTTTCTGAAAACTGCCTTCAGTGTTCTCCATTTAAGAATGCTCTTTAGTGGAATCTCCCATTTCCAGACAAACATTGTTGCTTACTATTTTACTCCACAGCATTCGCAACACTTAGAACCAAGTCTGCGCTGCCTCCAAGCTCTCGTAATTTGTCATTTTATATTCCTGGATTCAATTGCACTTAGTGCAAGTTCCTAGTAATATTTCAATACGCTCTCTCTCTCTCTCTCTCTCTCTCTCTCTCTCTCTCTCTCTCTCTCTCGCTCTCTCTCTCTTTCAGGTCTGTCTCTCTCTGTGTGTGTGTGTGTGTGTGTGTTTCTTTGAGTTGATGACTTATTAGATAAGATAGTTAAATTTTCATGAACAGACATTTATGAAATGTTTAAAACAAATAGTATTCAATGGGGAACATGCCACAGAGGTAAATGGATACGTAACTTTACATTAAAGAATAAATGAACGTCGCTAAATGTCAGTAAATGGGAATTGATATCTTTTAAGACTCTCACAGAGAAGTTGGTAAATTACCATATCTTCATAATATTGTACCTTTTATGCCTCGTATATTGCTCAAAGTTTATTCCGAGGTTTTGTTTTATAATATCCAGTAATTTAATTTTTTTTTTTTTATGTGGAGGAAATCTATTACAGCATCGTAAACTTTTTTTTTTCCAAACAAGGACTAAATATCACCGCATTCGCCAGAAAAGGCACAATCACATAATATTACAACATGGTACTAAAGAAGAAGTAACTAGTACATCATCTTAATATCCCGTCACCCCCTTGTGGGATGCAATTTTTCGTTATTTGCCCTACCCCGGCTCTTGCCAGGGGCCGCAATCTAGCCTGGTCATAAAAATGGTCTAATGGCTGAACGCGGTTTCTGGGACCTCTCCACGGGTGATCCTCATCCGCATGATGGCACTTTGTGTCATCGGGTGTTTATCACTTGTGTGATGTCCTGGTGGGGTGAATGTAGATAGACAGATAGGGTGCAACATCAAATTGCAGAAGAGCTGGAATCATTTCATGATATTTTTACATTGACGTGTTTGAGAGAAATTAAAACTGATTTTACTTGACATCTTCAAGCAGTTTACACCAAGAAGCAGTATTTTGAATGATAGAACATTGCATGTTTAGTTTCGGCAATCACAGACAAATACAACCTCTTATCTTACATTGTTATTTCATGCAATAAAAGTTTTATTACACCTATTTCTAACAATTAATCATGGTTAAAGAATATCGAAAAGTTTGATGCCTTCTCACTATATGAGAATAATGACAGCATTTTATAAAGCAAGCTTTTGAATCATAGGTAAACAGGGTGTTCTGCTGTCAATGTTTATTATCTGGATGCTTGCGAATATCCCAGGCAGCGAGGACATTGTTAACTCCGACGGTTTGTTATTGCAAAATATGAACAGTGTCTTTCTAAAAAGCACACATCCTTTGAGGCTGCAGTCAAAGTCCCAGAGTTGAGAGACCAGCACAAAGTCTACAGGGGTGGTGTTAGTGCTGAATACCTTCCACAAGGAGCCATTCCTCTGTAAGATGTAAACATCTGTTCCATGCGTGAAACTAACCATATTTTCAGCCGTTCCACTGATTGAGGTTTCACATTTATGAGTTTGTCTTGTTTCGGTATTGTAGCATTCTACAGCTGTGGCGTTAATTTTCGTGCCAAAAACGAGTATGTACTTATGGAATCGAACGAGACAGTTCCCATAATTTTCTAGCTTGCAACATTCTGTGCAAACGGAGGCATGTCCATAAACACAGCAGAAACTGTGAAGGCCAGGATTGTTTTGGACCCCAAACATATTGTGTCGGGGGTTTGCTGATAGATAACAGTGGTAAATATGATTACCTTGTGGTAACAATATCACTGTTCTGTTATCTTTCATACTGTTGACTTTTACCCATGTTTTTTCTTTGGCAAGCACATATACTTCTTTATTAATGTGACAGTTTGTTTGAGCATACATACCAAATCCTTGCTGCCCAGGTGTGGTGGCCTTATTGAAAAGAACATGTAAAATGTTGTCAAAAATAGTAATAGAAATATCACTAGATGAATTACAATCAAGAGGCAGCTGAGCAAATTCAGCAACGCGGCCAGTATTTAAATCATAGGTCCTGACTTTGTCACCAAATACAAACACCATGACATGTTTGTATTTACCTGAATCTCTGCACACAGCTGCGTCAGGCCATGCGTCATGGCGTCGGCTGACATCCAAGGTATACATCAGAGCTTCATGCATCAGTGGGTATGCTCCTGTATCCACCAATAGGCGTATATTATTCTTCATGATTGCGTCAAGAATGTTTGATTGTATTGTAAAGAGTCTACAAGCAGACAACAGTTTCACTAGATACTTTTTTCGGTTTTCTGTATAACTTGTATCAGCATTACACTCTTTGCTGATATTTTTGCATTCTACGGGAACAACTGCATGATCTTTGATGTCAGTGACCTTTTCAACCTCAACGATAGGCGAACAAGTATTTGATACACCAGGCTCAACACCATCTGATACAATAGCCAGATCATTGTGTATATTCTCCTGATTTTCGCTGCTGGACAAGCTGTTTGTTGGGAAATCGTCATCATTCGTATCATTGATGTCCTCAGTTTTGTTTCCTTAAAAAATAAAACAAACACAAATACTGGTTAGTGAATATGAAAGATACTTTTGAAAATGAAATCATAACCAATACTTTCACAACATAAAGGCAAAGCGCATAAAATAGAGATTTCACACACATACACATACACATACACGCACGCACGCACACACATACACACACACTAGACATATTTGCCTCTACAAGACTTGTACTCGTGAAATATCCCATAGAAAAAAAAAAAAACCAATAAATAAATGTTTGAAAATCAATAAAAAGGGTTGAAAATTCTAAATTAGAATATATACATGTACTCATACCGAGTGAGAGACACACACACACACACACACATGCACGCATACACAGAATGAGAGAGAAGGAGGCATGCCTCCTCTGTACTGAAACAAATAAATAATAAACAGCCCAATTTTTACCACAATCCAGTGATATACTTTGTCCAGACAGTGTTGCAGATTTTACCCAGTTCAAGACGGCATCAACAACCAGCTCTTCGTGGTCTATCGCTAAAGCATCGTTCGCAATTACTTGGAAAAACTGCTCAAAGGGTAAGCAAAGAATAAGTTCTTCACTGCCGATTTCATTAAAGTTTCTGCAAATAAAATCCAAGCAATTATCTACCACAGTTTTTGCAGCGTACTGAGTTGCATGGTTGAGAAAACGACAACAAGTGTTAACCGAAATGTTTTCCATCGCAAACGTAAGACACTGCTCAGTTAAGTAACCAATATGCAGCATTTCCGAAGCTGCCCAAACGTCTAAAATATTGTCGATGGTGAGCCCATCTATGCCTTTATACACAGTAGTAATTATTGTATCAAAAGTGCTAGCAGTCATCCCCTCAAGTTTAGCATGGCCTTTTCTCTGTTCCTTCATTTGCGACTTAAACAGGCCCTGGAAGAACCCGGAGCATGCGCTGAGAATGAAGCGATGACACCCAAAGGAGGTGTTCCCAACAATAATGGTGAAATCACTGTAATCATCGCCCTTCCACAGGTTTCCCACACACTTCTGTAGGCCGCAGGCTAAGGATTCTCTAAACAGCATCGTTATTTGTTGTCAGGCGAAGCTCTCTGAAAAGTAACAAAATTTTTGTAAACGGAAAACACTCTATGTGATTTGCATTACACATAAATATTCCATAAAATGCATCTTTCCAGTTTAAATGTTACAGGTATTTTTATAAACAATATAAATCAAGAAAAAGCAAAATGCATAATGTTATCAAAACTGACAAGAAAACTTCACAAACACCACCATGCCTCTGAAAGTGTAATGCTTTGGCCTAACAAATTTAACAGTAATGTATGCAGATCTTCTACCATCAAAGGAAAACAGGTAACTTCCTAACTGTAGGATGTCTCAGTATAATTGTTTTATCCAGTTGAACGGGCTATCACGGATTATTGCCTACTGGATTACCATCCTTAAAGTGGGTCGTGTCGTAATTGTGTGTCAAACTGTCAAGATTCAATCCTAGAGGGGAAATACATATGGAAAAAAACATTTACATTGAATTCAAGAGTGGTTCAGAAAAGTGATTACTGGAAAGCTTGGCTGTCAAAAGAAAAAGCAGGGGATGGTCCGAGCGAAAGTGGACACTTGAAATTAAAAACCCCTTGAGCGTGAAAGTGCATGAGCCAAGGAACTGCCAAGTCATCGAGTTTGGTGTGTCAGGATGGGAGCGCCGTTCTTTTAAGAATCTGCTACATGAATGAAGGATCTGTTACATGAATGTAATGTGATGTCTACAACGAAAACAGTGATGCATAAATATTAAGAGGTTTGACTTTGTAACTCCTGAATGTTTATAATATATATTTTATTTTGTATAACAATACTTTGTACATAATGTTATAGAAACACAATAAATATTTAAAGGCTTCTAGGGAGAAGAAACAGCTGGCATAGAGTTGATCACATCACCTATCATGTGCTAACTATCTATATAACACAGTTGTACCAGCACATGCCCCATACACATCAAAACATAGAAGATGAAGCTTTTCACCATTAAACTGGCAATTGTGACTGCCATTAAGAAGGAGAAAGAGAAGTAGCAAACAATTGTTTGGTCTAGTGTTAACCCCCCCCCCCCCTTTCCCACCTAAATCACAACAACCAGTTTTACTAATCCCAACAGTTATCTCCAGTTGTATTCAATCAACGTTCTCCCGTATGTGTATCTTACTCCAAATATTTTTCAGATTCACTCCTACAACCAATTCCCATAGTTTTTACTTAAGCCTGTACCTCCCCTCCTTTCCGGTTTTACTTAAATGTTTACGCCAGTGTCATATTATAGTTTCTCCAAGTTCCACGTCTTTATTTCACATGCTGAAGTTCATCAGATGCTGTAAACTAGGCTTATGTTACACATCTGCTTCTATACTTAAATAGAGATAAGGTATCCAACCTGCCTTTTTGCATTATTGTTCTGACGGGATTCGTGTGCTTAATGGGTAATCCAGCGCATAAATGCATTTGAATATAAATGTTACAGACAGGTTCTAAGAATATCTTGGGTAAAGAAAAGAACAAATGCATCCATACTTCAAGAGCTGAATATTGAAGAGGGTTGGCTAGTAAAGACAATAAAACAAAGAAAATTGAAATATTTTGGTCACTTGAAACGTCATGGAAGTCTAGAGAGAACAATAATGGAGGGGTATATGCCTGGGAAGAGAGGAAGAGGAAGGCCAAGGAGAAGATGGGTGCAGGATGTGGCAGATGATCTCCAGATGGGTGTATCAGACGCAGGACATCTTGCTCAGGATAGGAAGGTTTTCCGGAGGGTTGTTATGGCAGCGAGGTTCCGCGAGGGACATGCTACTGAATGAATGAATGAATGGGTAATCCAGCCGTGGGTCATGGGCAGAAAGAGTAAGATCTACAAAATAACCGGTGGGGGGGGGGGGGGGGGGGGGGAGTGACTCAGGTGAATTTGGCATGATTGACACCTTTCCGTTTTTCCAGACGATATTGTTATAGTGCGCTATGAGAAGGCATGGGACTCACAGCCCATGGTCATGGCGAGTGTGACTAGCAAGACCCGCCCACGTTAAAAAAGAAGTCTTTCACAATTATAGCATGGGATTTCAGGACCATTGTTGTCAACATTTGTGATGAGTCTGTTTCTTCTCGAACGCTCAGCTTTCATCCTTTCTGAGCTTGGCATACGTTGTTACTATATCCCGCATGAGAATGGAAGTTGAGGCGGTAATTGCTGCATTCCTAAGAGTAGTGAAATTTCAGCCACACATATTATCACAGTATCGGATTCGCAGAGCATCCTTACGTTGGCGGAATCCGGTTAACTTTATTTGGAATTGTTGCATCAACCCAGAGGTAGCAGGTGGTGAGTCACATTGATATTTTGTGGTCACATTGATATTTTGTCCAGGCTATTAAGCGTGTTTGGAAATGAGCAAGCATGTAGGTTGGCTGGACTGGCATCATTGTGAGAAGAGGTGAGGGATGCAGTGCAAATGAACAAGGCAGACGTGATATCTAGTATATGGGACAAAATAACGAGTTAAAAAAAAGATACTGAAAATCCATGAAGAAAAGAAAAAGTAAGTAAAGGCAGTAAAATTATGGGGTGCCTTTTCACGCCTTTAGGCGTCTCGTGCATATAGGAAGAGCACCCCATAATTTTACAGACCAATCGGCATTGGGTGGGTAATGTGGTTAGCATTACGCCGGCCGTCTTTACTTCCCTAGGACATCCATCCCGGTACCCATTTCAAGCTGGGTCGACCTGCGACGCCCCATCCCACGATAAAAATCCACGCAGCCAGCAGTGGGTTTCGATCGCGGTACGTTGGGGTTACGAGTCGGACTGGCAAAGCTTAAGCCACAGACGCCGCCTGAAAAATCCATGCGTGGTGAGAATGACGCAGCAAGGAGTGTATAAGGCTTTGAACGCCACTGGAGTAGTTAACCAGATAACGGGTCTGTCAGAATAGAGACTCTTCGCTAGCTGTTTAAGAGGCAGATGGAGCTCATATGAGCTTGACCGGATTGCTGTGATATCGAATCTTTACATAGTTGAAACTAAAACATGCGTTAATTTGTACCTTAGAGAACATTAAAAAAAAGTAACGGAAATATTAGGTATACAGTGCTATCACTGCTCAGTACTATTAAATACCAATACAAGAGCCTTTACCACTACCACAATAACATCTGCTAATACAGTAATAGTTATTATAGAGTAACCATTTTCGTCCAGATGATTTCGGGGACCACAATTCTAATATAAAATGAACTCTTACAATAATCCATGACATAAGATCTTGTTTTTACGCTGTCTCGTAAAATCGGGGGCGAATATTCACTTTAAGCTATCACTACTACAAACGCTACAACAAAGACATTACTACTAGCCAGACCTTAACAGCTCGTACTACAATTAAAAAGTACAACAATAATTGCAACGGGACTACAAACGCTACATCAACATGTAATGCTACCACAATATCAACAACTCCTACTAAGTACGACTGGTGATACAAATTGTATAATCATATACGATGAAAATAGCCAATGCATCTGTAGGATGACAATAATGATAAATGTCATATCCAAACTTAAGAAAAGAAAAGTACAGAAAAACCAATTACGTTATACCTGATGAACGTGAAACAAAGAAAACACAAAGATG